CAAGGACACCAGGACACAAACCTATCATCTTTCTACAACTCTTAATAGTACATTTGCCGAACTAGCTTTTGTCTTCTGTTTATTAAAGTACAAAACATGACATTCTTTATTGTTACAATGTTAAGAAAGCATTAGTGATCTGCCCATAACATCGTTTCACATTACAAGTTAAGGGACGACAAGAAGTTAGTTAAAACATGAATTGTCACCGATTATAATGATAATTGTACTGGGCTCACATGGCGTGTTGGAGTATATGTCCTGTATTACATGTTGTGATCCATCAACGCATGTGTAAAAGAATAATTTATATTTATAAAACACTTGTATTTACACGAGAAATACTTGTATACTTACTTGTTTGCTAAAATGCAATTTCTATAATTTAAAGATTTCTTTAATAAAATATTTTGATTCTCAAATTAGGGATTGAGTCAAAAATGACAAATAGAAAACCGTCAGAAGCTTCATAAAACAGCACCGAGCGGACCTCTATAAGATTAGTAAATTTTTTTATGTTAAAAGAGGATAAAGAGGTCTTTTTATTCAATTTAAAATTTTGCTATCCTAGATATTGATGCATTTTAGCCCTTTTGTCATGAATAATAATAAAAAAGATTGACATTAAGAAAGTGACTAATTTGAAAAGGTGTGTGTTACTGTGACAGTTTAGCAAATAGTCATAGCAAATAATTATTTGTCTATGCTAGAATATTGACCAAATTTGATACGAAAGGTATGTGATATTATTTAACTTTAAAACTTTTACATGTAGTGTCTACATCCCACATTATAGTATTACAATTAATTATGTCTCCCCCACCTCGGGGGGAGACATATTGTTTTTGCCCTGTCCGTCCGTCAGTCCGTCCGTCCGTCAGTCCATTCTTCGTTTCCGCACGATAACTAGAGTTCCTTTTGACCTACAGCTCTCAAACTTCATAGGATGATTGGTCTTATTGAGCAGATGATCCCTATTGTTTTTGGGGTCAGTAGTTCAAAGGTCAAGGTCACAGTGACCGTTGGTCAATTTCTCGTTCCGGATGATAACTAGAGTTCCTTTTGACCTACAGCCCTCAAACTTCATAGGATGATTGGTCTTATAGAGCAGATGATCCCTATTGTTTTTGGGTCAGTAGGTCAAAGGTCAAGGTCACAGTGACCGTTGGTCAATTTCTCATTTTCCGGATGATAACTAGAGTTCCTTTTGACCTACAACCCTCAAACTTCATAGGATGATTGGTCTTATTAATCAACCTTGTATATAAACCTCCGTCATTGCCGATTAACTTGTTCCTTCAAAAGCTTACCCTTGTCTTGGAAAATTCACCAACAGAAAAACTGCATAGTTCTAGGAGACTTCAACATGACCTCATTCAATATTTAGAACATCCATTGGACCCACACTATGTTACGACATCGAGCTTTAAACAAATAATAAACAAGGCTACACAGCACACAACACACTTATTGACCATATCTACCAGAGAGGCTTGATTGTGAAAACGAGTGGAGTCATCCCAACACACTACAGTTATCATGATTTGACATACATTGAAATTTTGAGTTGTCTTTCAATAGTGTAAAAAATCTGACAATATGAACGTTTGTTTCAAGTATCATCAAAATCCTTCAAAGGGTTGAAGAGTTATGGAGCAGACACAATTTCCTTTAATTTCGTTTGTGAAACTATATATGATATGACACCTTCAAGTGTCAAGTAGACCTTGGACCTTGGAACCAGCCCATACGAAACATGTACTCTACACAAACATGTACTCTACACGTTCTCTGGATGTGGTGAATTTTTGTTTCAAGTATCTACCAGAGAGGCTTCATTGTGAAAACGAGTGGAGTCATCCCAACACAACTACAGTTATCATGATTTTACATACATTGTAATTTGAGTTGTCTTTCAATAGTGTAAAAAAATCTGACAATATGAACGTTTGTTTCAAGTATCATCAAAATCCTTTAAAGGTTTTGAAGAATTATGGAGCAGACACAATTTCATTTAATTTCATTTGTGAAACTATATATGATATGACCATCAAAGTGCAATTTCGTTTGACGCCGCCTGCCATACGCTGATTGAATAACCAGGATTTTCAAAATTGAAATATCTGGTTAAAAACAACAACAGTTTAGGAAGCATCTTCTCATACAACCTTAAACAATAGAAAACCATCCATAGACAGCCTTCATTTGAAGTGACTACCGGGTATTTACATTATCTTTATCTCCATTTCCCCATTCCTGTTTCCATTCACAGTTATTCTCAGCAGTGGGGGAGACATGCGCTTTTTTACAAAAGCATCCTCTAGTTTAACTTGTTTCACCATTTGTCTTTCAAAGATTATCATAATGTGCTTCTTTTATGAGTTTTATGTTTATATGCATGTATGTCGGTCAAAAGCTATACATAGCTTATGTTTTGTAAAATGTTATATATATATACCGACAATAAATAAAATTTGATTTGATTTGATTTGATATGCGTTATAACTTTTGAGACTAAATTAACGTCACTAACTGACTTTTCTGGATTGATTCAATTATGAAGTTTTTACCACTTAAGGACAATTGTCTTCGGCAGTCTGACATTTAAATAAGACCATGTACGCCTCTTGATTTACAATGCAATTTTATGTCTTGCGTAACAAATATATAGTTTTATAGCACACCAAAAGTAGAATGCTAAATACAAGAAACCAAATTTCTTGGCTAACGAAACGCCCATACCATTAGATAATGAATATGTCTTATCTTATACGGGACGTTAATAAACAAGAGCACCGCTAGGTGGAGCATTATATGCCCAAAAGTGTTTTTTTTGAAGTGATGAAGCATTTGTAAGACATTACATAAATTAAATAAAGTATTACCTCCTTCCAAAAGCAATCCTCCTATAAAGTTTGAATATTGCGGGCCAAATAGAAATTAAGTTATACTCCGAAAACTGTTTTCAGTTTTAAAGTAAATAGCGATCCTTGACCTTTGACCTTGTGACCCCCAAAATCAATAGGGGTATTCTACCCAATATGGACAATCATCCTATGAAGTTTGAATATTGTGGGCCAAATAGACCTTAAGTTATGCTCCCAGAAACTGTTTTCAGTTTTTAAAAGTAATAGTGACCTTGACCTTTGACTGTTTGACCACAAAATCATTAGGGGTCTCCTACCCAAATATGGACAATCATCCTATGAAGTTTGAATATTGTGGGCCAAATGGAATTTAAGTTATGCTCCGAAAACTGTTTTCAGTTTTAAGGTAATAGTGACCTTGACCTTTGACCTTGTGACCCCAAAATCAATAGGGGTCTCCTACCCAATATGGACATTCATCCCATGAAGTTTGAACACTTAAGCCACATGGAACTTAAGTTATGCTCCGGAAACTGTTTTCAGTTTTAAGGTAATAGTGACCTTGACCTTTGACCTTGTGACCCCAAAATCAATAGGGGTCTTCTACCCAATATGGACAATCATCCTATGAAGTTTGAACACTGTGGGCCAAATGGAACTTAAGTTATGCTCCGGAAACTGTTTTCAGTTTTAAGGTGATAGTGACCTTGACCTTTGACCTTATGACCCCAAAATCAATAGGGGTCTTCTACTTAATATGGACAATCATCCTATGAAGTTTGAATGTTGTGGGCCAAATGAAACTTAAGTTATGCTCAGGAAACTGTTTTCAGTTTTAAGGTGATAGTGACCTTGGCCTTTGACCTTATGACCCCAAAATCAATAAGGGTCTTCTACCCAATATGGGCAATCATCCTATGAAGTTTGAATGTTGAGGGCCAAATGGATCTTAAGTTATGCTACGGAAACCAAATTGCTAACAGACGGACGGACGGACGTTCTAACAGGAGAGTAATTATGTGGCTACTCTATTGTTCTCTCTATTGTTCTTTTTAGCCACACAAAAGAAAATAGCCACATAAAAGCATTACGGAATGAATGACATCAAAGAGAAAGAAAAGTTACCTATTGTCCCTCTAGCCACATAATTACTCTCCTGTGAGTGCGGACAGACAGATGGATGGACAGACAAACGGACGGACGCCAGGGGGTATAACATAATATGCCCGAAATTCTTTCAGGCATATAAAAAGAAATGTAATAAACAGACTTCAAGTGAGCCAGCGGAGATATACATGTATAAATAATATTCTGATATGCAATGTTCTCAAGTGTTTTTTACAGAGTATGTGTTTTTATAGGAAATTTATGACATGTCATCATGAATGTACTTCAAAAAAATTCTTAAAATGATATGGAGCAAATCAGTGTTAAAGAAAGATTGTATTGCATAACACTATTTTGATCCAATGGCTAAGAAGGACAAACGTTTACTATGCTATACACCAAGTTTTTTTTATACAAATATAATTTTGACCAAAGTGTTTTCGTTTGTTCTTTTGGCAGACACTCAGTAGAAGATGTTTCATGATAAATAATAAATACAATGTATCTAAGCTCTAGCAACATGTATTTGGGTTTTTTAAAGGACGATTTTTAAGTTTTTACTATATACATATAAGAAAAATCAATGACACCTCTGGGCCCCAGGTCTTTTATTTGAACAAACTTGGTAGACACACACTAGAACATGTTTCATGCTTAATAGCTATTTGGATTTTTTAAAAGAAGATTTTTTTTAAAGTTTTTACTATTTACATACAAGGAATATCAATGACCCTCCCCCCTCCCCCACCCCCGACGGGGGCAATTTTGACCCCAGGGATTTTATTTGAACAAACTTGGTAGACACTGTCTAGACAATGTTTCATGCCATATATTTATCCTCTAGGAAAATTCTGGGAAGACTGGATGAAATTGGCTTAGCGGTTTATGAGATGTGGTTTATGAGGAGATGTTGTTTAAAGAAAGTTTACAGATGGACGACAGAACGACTGACGAAAAGCGATCACAAAAGCTCATCATGTCACTTTGTGACAGGTGAGCTAAAAACTAGCACATTCAAGGTAAATATTCTTATTGTTATCAGTTTTATTTTTGTTTATAATCATTATCATTCATGCACTTACAATATAACATACACTTCATAACCAAAAAAAGTTATTTAAGTTACCTTACGTAATATAATAACATACAGATTGGACAATTTTTATATCATATCATGTAACCTTAGCATACACCTTAATTTAATAATACAATAATCAACTTAACATTTCATTCATTTTGTTAATTGAGCAGATTTAGAAATCACAGTTTAAAATAACAGAGAAATATTTTCATGTGTCCCACTCAGCAGGTACGTATATTAATATACGTACCTGCACTCAGTTACAAACTGATTGTATAGAAAACTTAGACATCCACAATATTACCAATCACAGCAATTGCTTCAATTTCTACCTTTGCACCCTGAAATACAGATAATATAATTTGTATGATGTATTAATCTGACCATAACAAAATTTATATCTATTAAATCAACACACCTCAAGGTCTGTTAATAAAACATAAAACAATAGAGACTATGAACAAGACTATAAAACAATTGCTCTTATTATCCACACAAATCTCCAATGACTGTTAAAACTGTGCAGTTATTTCTCTTATTTCTTTAGTACTGAGATATAGTATAGAGTTCAGAAATTATAAAGTTTTTAATAACAATGTCTAAAAGACATTTATCATTTGAAACTTTCAAGTACAAGTGTCTCTTACAAATGTAATATGTAATATATTTCAGTATAACAAGCAACAACAATACCCCCTCACCCCCTTCTGCATAAAAAAGAAACATCTCTATGCAACAAATAAAATCCTTGTCACCCAAATGGCGTTGCTTTGCAGAGGATGTCATTTACTATACCATGTTCTGTGATATTTAACAGGTGTCAGAACTTAACATATCAAACATTAATTCAGTAACTTTTCATAAATTTATGATGAGTAACAAGCCAGTCTATTATTATAGTTGATTATTATAAAATGTGTTGCTATAGTTACCAGTGGTAAAGCAGCGGCCTGATAAGCTGCCCTGGCTGGCTTGTTTTCAGGGAAATCTGTCAATAATAAATTTAGTAGTCAAAAATATATTATATGTTTAATGTTTAAGAAAGATATAGCATTCTACATTGCCATCCTTACCACAGGGACCCAGCACAGTGTTGGGATAGTGTAAAAAAGTAATTTAAAAAAAAAATATATATTGTATATATAATATATAGACTATATATTATATATAAAGTATAATTTTTTTTCTAGAATTACTTTTTTACACTATCCCAACACTGTGCCGGGTCCCTTTGATCCTTACAAGTATTTGTAACAGAGTTACCAATGTTCCCTGCCTCAGGGAATTTTAAATGAAGCATAAAAATGTGCTATTTCAAAAGATTGTGGTATGGATCAGGACTTTTAGTCCAAAGGCATCTAACAGTTGCTTAAGACAGGCTGTCTTATTATGCCAAAACAGAACATTTTAGCTATTTAGCTAAGTTGTTTCAAAATTCTTTGATGGGACAAACAGATTGAGTCCATTTCTACATCCCCCTTTTTTCTTCCAAAAGGCAGGGAACAATTATCCTATACAGAGTTTATCTCTAATACTTTTGAAGTTATTCTCTGGATACGAAAACACAGACTATGATATCTTTTAATTGTAAGTGTGACCTTGTAAGACCAAACTCATAATGTACCCTATAACAGACTATATTAATCTTTGCCTTGACCTTAGTGTAGGCGACTGGTTATTGCACATGACACAACGTCTCATTATTGTGAACATTTGTGCCAAGTATTTACAAAATCCCTTGATCTATGAAGAAGTTATAGACCAGAGACAAAATATCCGCAGTCCCTATGACAAACTATGTTAATCTTTGAACTCTAGGTGTGACAAGGTGCCTTAGAGGTAGGGGTGCAGGTGTTGCGCATGACACATCATCTTATCATTGTGACTGTGTATATTTATGCCAAGTATTTTCAAAATCCTTTGATCTATGAAAAAATTATGGACCGGACACAAAATATATCCTATAACAGACTATGTTAATCTTTGACCTCCAAGTGTGACCTTGACCTTGGAGGTAAGTGACCAGTTGTTGCACATTATTGTGAACAACTGTGTCAAGTATTTACAAAATCCCTTCAAAGATAAGAAAGTTATGGACCGGACACGACATATACCCTAAAATAGACAATGTTGACCTTTAATGAGCAAGTGCGCCCTTGACCCTGGAGGTAGGGATCTGGTTGTTGCGTATGACACATTGTCTTATTATAACAAACATTTGTGCCGAGTTATTTCAAATTCCTTTGATAAATGACAAAGTTATGGACCGGACACTAAAGTGTGACGGACGGATGGACGTCCAGCCGAAATGAAATAAGGGGCCTTTTCTTTTGTTATTTTCTATTGTTTAATAGAGGGCCAATGACCCCTTACTCTATTGTTACGAAATGAACTCTATTGTTCTCTTTTGTTCTGTTTACAGTAAGATGGCCCCCTATCACTATTTGGCAGTGCGGACAGATGGACGGACGTACGGACAGACAAAGCCTATTTCTATATCTCCTTTTTTCTTTGAAAAGGCTGGGGAAATTCGTGAAATATGAAAATTACAATTAAGTGTTTTTTGCAAAGCAATTAAATTGATATATTTGGTAAATCTCTTAAAAAGTTTTACTCCACCTTGTTATAATTTTCAATATCAACATGAATTCATACATTGACAGTATTAGGAAAGTTTAGCACATAAACAAACTAATTGCCACTTTTTCCTGTAACAGTTAACTGCATATATGTGCTCAGATAAGCTTAAAATCATAGACAGGGAAGACTTTGGGAACAAAGAAGTAAGTACTTACATTTAACATACACATCATTGACTGCATGGAAATCCTTTATGTCTGCTAGTAATACTGTACACTTCACAACTGCCAAAAGAAAATCATTCCAAGAAATTATTTCGGTACTGTTTTACCTCTAGCCAGCTAGAGATTATACCCATGAAAGCAGGGCAAACCAAGATCAGCCAAGACAAGCCAGCAGAGCAGACCAAGGTCAGCAATCACATGCGAGCAGGGCAGACCAAGGTCAGCCATCAAATGCAAGAAGGGCAGACTAAGGTCAGCCATCACAAGCAAGCAGGGCAGATCAAGGTCAGCCATCACATGCTTGCAGAGTAGACCAAGGTCAGCCATCACATGCTTGCAGAGTAGATCAAGGTCAGCCATCACATGCTTGCAGAGTAGACCAAGGTCAGCCATCACAAGCAAGCAGGGCAGATCAAGGTCAGCCATCACATGCTTGCAGAGTAGATCAAGGTCAGCCATCACATGCTTGCAGAGTAGACCAAGGTCAGCCATCACATGCTTGCAGAGTAGACCAAGGTCAGCCATCACATGCTTGCAGAGTAGACCAAGGTCAGCCATCACATGCTTGCAGAGTAGACCAAGGTCAGCCATCACATGCTTGCAGAGTAGACCAAGGTCAGCCATCACATGCAGGCAGGGCAGACCAAAATCAGCCATCAAATGCAAGCAGGGTAGACCAAGATCAGACATCACATATAAACGAGGCTGAACAAGATCAGCCATGAAATGCAACCAGGGTAGACCAAAATCAGCCATCACATACATGTATGAGCAGGGCTGAACAAGATCAGCCATCACAAGCAAGCAGGACAGACCAAGGTCAGCCATCACATATAAACCAGGCTGAACAAGATCAGCCATGAAATGCAAGAAGGGTAGACCAAGGTCAGCCATCAAATGCAAGCAGGGCAGATCAAGGTCAGCCACCACATATAAACCGGGCTGAACAAGATCAGCCATGAAATGCAACCAGGGTAGACCAAAATCAGCCATCACATACATGTATGAGCAGGGCTGAACAAGATCAGCCATCACAAGCAAGCAGGACAGATCAAGATCAGCCATCACATATAAACCGGGCTGAACAAGATCAGCCATGAATTGCAAGCAGGGCAGACCAAGGTCAGCCACCACATATAAACCGGGCTGAACAAGATCAGCCATGAAATGCAAGAAGGGTAGACCAAGGTCAGCCATCAAATGCAAGCAGGGCAGATCAAGGTCAGCCACCACATATAAACCGGGCTGAACAAGATCAGCCATGAAATGCAACCAGGGCAGACCAAGATCAGTCATGAAATGCAACCAGGGTAGACTAAGGTCAGCCATCACATACATGTATAAGCAGGGCTGAACAAGATCAGCCATGAAATGCCAGCAGGGCAGATCAAGGTCAGCCATCAAATGCCAGCAGGGCAGACCAAGGTCAGCCATCAAATGCAACCAGGGCAGACCAATGTCAGCCACCACATGTAAGCAGGGCTGAAAAAGATCAGCCATGAAATGCAACCAGGGCAGACCAATGTCAGCAATCACATGTGAGCATGGCAGAACAAGATCAGCCATCACATGCAAACAGGGCAGAACAAGATCAGTCATCAAATGCAAGCAGGGCAGAACAAGATCAGCCATCACTGTTCACTTTTCAGTCAGGTGTTATTTTGAAAATTTACCTTAAAATGATGAATGTTTTTGTCTAGTTTGAAAGATGGATAAATCCAATTAAGATAAATACCAGGTAAAGGACAAGAGAAAAATGTTATTGATGTATATTAAAGTGACATTATACTTATTTTTTTTTTAATTGTCAAGTTGAGTTAATATGACAATATAAGATTGACTGTTATAATGATGATTGACCAACAGTTGATTTCAGAAATTAATTAGGATTAAATATAAACCTGCCTAAAATATGAAAAGACTGCCCCACTCTTTGTTTCAGGTAAATTCCTATGGATATTCATAGAAATTTCCTTTAGGCCAATTTACTTATTTATCGTTCATGGAAAGTAAATTATAAAATTAAAAAGAAGTATGACAAAATGTATTTTGTAATGTAAACTTATTTTGACCTGTTCATTCACTATAGTACCTGTGGATGGACATAATGTCACTTTATATATGTAACACATTATTATTAAGCTTCATATGTATTTAATTTTCTAGTCAAATATGATTTAGGACACCTAGTGACCTAATAAACATGGATAACAGTTTATCAAATATAAAAGAGCCCCGCAAAGTCTGGGAAATTGTACACAAATGTATATTTGTTTAAGTGATCAAAAATAATATTTCAATTAGGGAAGATGCTACATCTCAAAAAGCTTTGCCTTAGGCATTGTAGTTTCACAAAAGAAGACTGATTTCCCATACAAATATATCTTAACAAAGTGACCCCTAGGCAGGGCCAATATTGACCCAAGGTGCATATTTATTTCAAGTTATTTTGTTGTCCACAAAGTGATGTATCATTCATTCCACATCTAAGCTCTGGGCATTGTAGTTTTTTTCCCCACATATTAAGTCTCATTAAGATGTATTAAATTTGTTTTCCTAAACAAGTCTATAAATCAAGTTATCCCTAGGGCCTAGCCAATTTTGATCTCAGGAAACCCAAACCTGTGTTCTGCACATCACCTCATTATGACTTATATTTCTTTCAAAAGATACAGAGTTGACATGAAATTTTGAAATTCATACAATATGACTAAGTGCAACCTTAACCTAAGGAAGGTCAAACCAGCACCCTGCACATCGACTCATTATGGTTAACATTTCTACCAAAAAGTTACAATTTCCTTCCACTGGTTCAAAAGATAAAGACCCGACATGAAAACTGACAGACAGACAACAAGGTGCTTAACAATATACACAGAATTTTTTTAAGGCATATAAATTTAGTCTATTAACTGTACATCTAAGAAAAGAAAATTTCTTTTTGACATAATCATCCTTATTGACGTAACATAACATTACTAGTTAGGGTGAATTTATGGAAAAAAAGAAACTGCATGTTATGTTATTTATAGAGAAGCAAAATTTGTGAATTTTATAAATTTTATTAATGCATTAATAAGCTGAAGGAATTAAGTAATTTCATCAGTTTCCAATATTAATTCAGATATAACAATATGCATGATTAAATGAATGTTGTATTACCATTTTTATATGTAACCCCAGCAGCTTGTAGAATCTCACCCATGTTCTTCAAAGCCTTTTGATAAAAATAAATTAGAAATAATTCATCATTATATACAATCATGGAATTTAATTGATAATTAAAGTGTGTGAAACAGTATAGGTTTTAATGATTAATGATTTAATAGTATATTATACACTTACTCCGGAATTAAGAATATCAGAGTTTTTCCCCCAGCTAATACGGGGGGAACTGATAGAAAATAGAGATAAACCTTCTCCATCCCAACATCAACCATGTATTTGATTTATCCTGCTTTTTATCATGTTTTTAGAATAATTAAATGGTTTCATTCTTCTTTTTCCCCGATAAAATAGCATCTATATGTAGTTTTGTTTTGCTGCTAAACATGTGACGTCATCATGTGACTTAATGACTGGAGATAGATAAGTTTATCCGGCAAGGCTTTATCCAGCTGATGATATAGACAGATGCAGGATAATAAAAGTTTGTTTGTACCAAACAAACTTTTACAGTTACAGCTTTGAAATTAAGTGCAACAGGTTGACTAATCTATTGTGACCGGTAGTGCACCATGAAGATTATAACAGTAAAAGTTTGTTTGTAGCGGGGGATAAGCATAGAAAACCCCACATTTGCCAAGTTCCGACTAACATCTATTGTTGCCTCTCATAAAGCATTCTTCATCAAAACTTGTTTAACCCATTACTTCATGAGCATTTTGTGAAAAATGGCTGTTTTCAGTTACAAGTTCAAATTGCTATAAAAGTATAAAAACTGCTTCAATACTAATCAAACTTGGCACAAATGTTGACTGGACCATTGCCTTTGTAACAACATGCCCAGGCTTTCCAGTTTTCATGGCAACGAGGGGATATCACAAAATTGTCAAAAATCACTATTTTGCCTTGATTTTTTCCATCAAAATTGATTTCAAAGTGCTGCAGCTTCTCAATGGATTGAGCTAGAGTCAAATGCTTTTCAGCTTTGGTTACACGTTACCTTATGATCAATCTGGGGTCATTTTTCTGGAGTCCAAAATTTTCTTGGCAATGAGGGGGACTGCCGCCCCCTTGAAACCCCCCAAACAGAAAGAGGGCACATCCCCCTTCTGGCAACCCCCTGAAGTATGTTTTGGTTGGGGGGGGGGGGGGGCGGGCGGAAAAAGTGTTAACTTTTTTAAACAACATTTCTCAAACAAAAACAAGTGTTGGGGGCCTAAATAAGGCACTTTTTTACCATTTGAGACAAATGGGGTGAAAAAAGTGTTAAAAGGTGTGTATATCATGTAATGGGTTAAATTGAATTAATTGCAGGTTTAACTTAATAAATCCACAGTGCAAAATATGTGCACAATTTTGTTGCATACACATAAACATCTCAATTGTTATCCTTTAACCTTAACTAATTTGGCTGTGACCTTTTATAACATCATAAGTGCAATCTTATAACAGATTTTTTAAAATAACTCCTAAACTGTATAGATACAAATTTGTACAAGTACATGTATGTCACATTTACAACTCTAAATACTTATATTTTTAAGGCTAAACATTCTTGTATACAAAAAGGAGAAAGAAAAACAAAGAAATGCCTTGAAATTTAGTAAACAACTGTGAGCCTGTCAGAATTGCGCCATTAATTGTCAAACCTTCAGCCGGTTCTTGTTGCTATCACCTTTAAAAAGGGAAACATCCCATAGGGTCCAACAATTATAAACGTTAACAAAGCAATTTAATGATATAATAGTGTAGCATGTGATCTAACAACCTGTTCTGCTTCTGGTACAGCTCCCCCTTCTACAAGAGCCTTAGTATTAACATCAAGTCCAATCTGTCCGGATATGTACATTGTATTGTCCGCAATAACTGCTTGACTGAAACATAATATAATACAAAAAATTTACATAAGTTATATACCTTACAAAAACTTATATTTTTAACCATCACTGAACATTTCTTGTATATCAGATAGGATTATCAATTGTTTACACCTGTGCTAGAAATCTGTCTTACATTCCCTGTGTAAGACAACCCCATTCAGTGGCATAACCTGCTAATACGCAAGTGCGTATAAAATGAACAGAGTTTCGAAAAAGTAAAATTTCAAAAATGACTGGGAACAGAAACTAGAACTTTGACTGCAGCAATAGCACAAATTGTTCTTTTTAAAGGTTGTAACATTGTATTACTTCAAAATATTTCTGCAGCAATAATAATTTCTGCAGCAATAATATTTCAAGGTGGTTAACTGTTACAACAGTTTCATGTTGATATTGTTTATCCTTCATAAATGTTTTCTGTGATCCAAAAGTCCCATAAATTGTCTACCAATATCTTTGCAACTGCATTTACTTAACTGTATGGTTGTATCTATCTTTCTTTATGGAAGTGATGTTTGGGGATTCAAACAAGTTCAAATTTTAGATAAATTTCAGTTGTAATTTTTTAAGTTTATTTTGAATTTAGTCTTGCAAGTTTTTTGAGTTCTGGAGTAAAATTATTAATGCTAAGGAAAATAAGATATGTAAACAATGTTGTCTTTGTTCTTTTAGAATATTGTTAATTCTAAATGGATAGCATGTGTAAAAGAAACGCTTAGTAAGTATTCTTGGTATGTCAGCATATTTTTATCTACAGAAGTAGATAATGTTAATCACTTTAAAAGTATTGTGAAGCTAAAAGTACATGATGATATCAATTTTTACAATATTGGCATAGGGGGCCTAGTACTATTGATACATCTTGTAAGAGCTAAGTATATCGTACATATAAAAATACTCATTGTTTTGAAAAATATCTAGATGTTACTACTGTAACTGATTAATTAAAGTTTTCATGATATTAGAATCACCAGTTTGCATACACTACCAGTGATTTTTCTCACTTAATTGGGAAGAGGCCTTAGCCTTTTGATTTTGGGACAAATTATCACTTCAATTGCTAATCTGGGAAGTAAAAAAGCTGGTGTGATTTCAGATCTTTGGGAACTGCATTATTTTAAAGAAATTTCAATTGGGAAGAGTCATTTTATAGGAGTCTGTTATGAAAGCAGAAAAATCACCCAGTATTTATCATTGTTTTATTCTTTAAAAAATGCAGTACGACTAGTCTCAACAGTGCACAAAGGCAAGTGGTATGTGCATTTGAGTCATACGTGACTCTGGTACGACTAGAACTTTTGGCTACCAATACGAGCCTGTACGACTAGACACTGCCTAAATAAAAACACAAACAAAAATAAAATAATAAACAGATAAATAATAAAAAATGGGGGGGGGGGGAACTGCATATTCCAAATTTGGGAGAGAACAGACATGGGAGGAAATGGTTTGTAGCAGGACGTCAGGGAAAAGAACTAATAAAAGGGAAAATAGTCTGACAGACTACCGTGGTACGAAAATACTTAGTACAAAAAACATAAATATCACGAAATGTAAAATATATAAAGAGTGTCACCGGAAAGAACATGTGTAATCTGCATCAGCAACAAAAAAGAAACATACCTGTATGGTCCAACAGCTCCCGGTGCCTTTGCAGTCTGAACGATTTTCCTTACAATTCCAGCCATTTTTGACATTCTATGGTCCGGATAGGATTATGTCCCTTGCTTATTGTGCTTACTTACAAAATGGCTGCGCCCATGTAATCACATGCAGGTAGTTAGATATTTTCCTTTTTACCTTATTTGCAATAAAAAATTCTTTATTCGTAACGTTTATAAAGAGATTATTTATTATCTAAATGTTCAGTTATAAAATTTTAGTATGTCATTTCGTTTTCTTCACAAAATCTACAAAATCAAGAATAATAAAAAACACAGGAGTTGACTAGTCAAAATATATTGACGTGCCAAAGCTTGATTCTGAGATATTTTCGTTCTGGGGCAGAATCTCGCTTTTAGAGGCGAGATATTGCCCAGACACGAAAATAGCACAATATCTCGTCGCGCAGTACAATTAGTTGGACTAAGGAGTTGACATTCTATCAATAGCTGAAATCTATAAACAAATAAGAAATAACGGCAAATATACCGCTCTACTATAAATTAATTTATTTTGTTTTATGCTGGTCAGGGACCATCAACCGGACACTTTTTGAACATTAAATTTGTCCATAAAGATTTCATAATTTCAAACCTATAGAGACCTGAAAATTTGACACAATCAACTATATGTAGGTTCCTCTCTAGTCAAGATATATTGACGTGCCAAAGCTTGATTCTGAGATATTTCGTTCTGGGGCAGAATCTTGCTTTTCGTTTTGTAGAGGCGAGATATTCCCCAGACACGAAAATAGCACAATATCTAGTCGCGCAGTACAATTACATTTAGTTGGACTAGGTTCTTCTCCGAACTAACAAACTAGTTTGTTTATTTCTGATAATATTGACTTCAGTACCATGTGTCCTGACAGATATGTGTACATGATGTGATATAATTCATTTAAATGCTAGGGTGTTTTAATTTTTAGCTCGACTATTCAAAGAAAATGAGAGCTATTGTAGTCGCCCCGGCGTCAAAGGTCGCGTCCGCATCTGCATTGGTTAAAGTTTTTTGTAAAGTCAAATATCTCAATTATTGCTTGAGATATTCAATTGAAACTTACAATACTTATTTATAGTAACAAGGTACATCAGATTGACAAGTTGGATAACTCTGGCTAAATATTGACAGAATTATGCCCCTTTTTAACTTAGAAATTTTGGTTAAAGTTTTTTGTAAAGTCAAATATCTCAATTATTGCTTGAGATATTCAATTGAAATTTACAATACTTATTTATAGTAACATTGTACATCAGATTGACAAGTTGCATAACTCTGCCTACAATATTTACAGAATTATGCCCATTTTTAACTTAGAAATTTTGGTTAAAGGTTAAAGGTCTTCAAAGATATTTACTTGAAACTTTGCACATGTACTTAGGGTCATAATTGAAGGTCACATCTCAAGATTCATTACTCTGCCATGTATTTTGACGGAGTTATGCTCCCTTTTGTAGTAAAAAATCTCCTTTTCTTGGTTAAGTTTAACATGCAAGTTTTGCATATCTCTGAAACTATTAAAGATACAAACTTGAAACTTCATATGCATATTTGTGGTCATAAATAATGATCACTGAACAGCACTCATATCTATGTCATGTATTAAGGCTGATTTATCTCCCCCTTTTATACTTAGTCTCTTGGTTAATGTTTACTTGTAAGTTTTACATATCTCAATAACTATCAGAGATTTTGATGTGCATGAAGGGTCATAATTATATGTCACTGACCAAGTTCCATAATCTTGCATTTAGGCTGATTTATCTCCCCTTTTCTACTTAGTCCCTTGGTTAATGTTTACATGCACGTTTTACATATCTCAATAACTATTAAAGATATTTATTTAAAACTTCACATATGCATTTAGGGTCATAATTGTAGGTCACTGACCAAGATCCATAATTCTTTCTTGCATTTAGGCTGATTTTTCTCCCCTTTTTCAACTTAGAAATTCATGGTAAAGTTTTGCTTGTAACCTGTTATCTCCTTAACTACTGAAGGGTTTGTGCCTTTTTTGGGACAATTTTATGCATTCATAATAATAAAGCAGTGATTTACGTGATAAAACATCTTAATAACAAGCTGTTGTACATTTTCGGTCAAATTTATGTATTCATAGGTAAGAATTATTATACTCAATAAAAAACCCTTGTGACAACTTTTTCGAATAGTCGGACCTTACTGTCCTCTTACAGTTCTTGTTTATAATTAACATGATATACAATATTTCAGCAGAAAATGCTGACGTTTTGGATGTTCTTTTGTTTACTCTGCAAATGATTATAGCTGGTATATGAGGTCAGGTATTGCACACTTAACCCACAAAATTTCAATGTAATAGACATTAAAATATTACCGTTGAACTAAATTTAATTTCTTAATTATAAAAAAAACATGTATGTATTGTTGTTATAAGTGACTGATAGATCAACTACCAATGAACACAGAAAATTATTTTAATTAAGCATTTTCGGGGCGGGGGATATAGAAATGGTCTCCGTCCATCCTTCTGTCCGACATTTTTGTCCGGAGCATATCTCAAAAAGTGTTTGAGGTATCAACTTGAAACTTTATAGGTGGATAGATCATATTAAAGAGGAGTGCAGTGCACAAGAATGATAACTCTACCCTTCTACCCTGTATAATTTTTCAGTAATTGCCCTTTGTTATTTTTCAAACTTAATTTTTGTCCAGAGCATAATAAAATTAACTCAAAAAGCCTTTGAGATATCAACATGAAACATCATGGGTGGATAGAGCTCACTCAGGAGGTGTGCAGTGCACAAGAATGGTAACTCTACTATTCATAATTTTTTAGTTATTGCCCTTTGTTATTTTTCATACATAATTTTTCACCTGAGTGGAGCATAACTCAAAAAGTTTTTGAGATGTCAAGTTATTGCCCTTTGTTATTTTTCATACTTTTTGTCCGGAGCTTATCTCAAAAAGTGTAAGGGGCGTCCGTGGCCGAGTGGTTAAGGTCGTTGACTTCAAACCACTTGCCTCTCACCGCTGTGGGTGCGAATCTCTACACGGACTTTGGATTCTTTCATGTGAGGAAGCTATCTAGCTAGCTTACGGAACGTCGGTGGTTCTACTCAGGTGCCCGTTCGTGCCTGAAATAATGCACGGAAGGGCACCTGAGGTCTTCCTCCACCAGTAAAGCTGGAACATCGCGATAAGACCCATACTGTGTTGATGTGATGTAAACACCCCCCCCCCCCCCCCCCCCCCCCCAAAAAAACAAAAACAAAAACAAACAAAAGTGTTAGAGATATCACCATGAAACTTCATAGGTGGATAGATCTCATTGAGGAGTTGAGGAGGAGTGCAGTGCACAAGAATGATAACTCTACCATGTATAATTTTTCAGTTATTGGCCTTTGTTGTTTTCTTCAAACTTAATTTTTGTCCGGAGCATAACTCAATAAGCCTTTGAGATATCAAAATGAAACTTCATGGGTGGATAGATCTCACTCAGGAGGTGTGCAGTGCACAAGAATGATAACTCTACCATTCATAATTTTTGAGTTATTGCCCTTTGTTATTTTTCATACATAATTTTTCACCTGAGTGGAGCATAACTCAAAAAGTCTTTGAGATGTCAACATGAAACTTCATAGGTGGATAGATCTTATTGAGGAGGAATGCTGTGTGCAAGAATGATAACTCTACCCTTTATAATTTTTGAGTTATTGCCCTTTGTTATTTTTATACTTTTTGTCCGGAGCTTATCTCAAAATGTGTTAGAGGTATCAACTTGAAACTTCATAGGTGGATAGATCTCATTGAGGAGGAGTGCAGCACGCAAGAATGATAACCTACCCTGCATTATTTTGCAGTTATTGCCCTTTGTTATTTTCAGCCATCAGTATTTACATTGGTTTCAAATCTGTAATCACTTCAGCCATCAGTTTTCATTACCAAAAGACCTCTTTACGAGATGTACATTCTTCCAATGAGCAAACACATTTGGTGGGGGATGGCCATGCTAACATGGCTCTTGTTGAATATATATATATATATATATATTATATATATATATATATATATATATATATATATGCCAATTATTGATAAAATGTTTCAAGCTCCTGTGAGTCAAGTCAGAGATGTACATGTAGAAAATAAGTCGCATAAATAAACATTATTTTAAAATGTCAGCGGCTTTCATAATTCTATTACCAAAATTCAATTATTTGAATTTTGTTTTGCTATATACTGTCATAGGAAATCTGCCAAATTCACCAAGTACTACAGAAGTTGATGTTTGTGGACGTTTGCCTAAAACTTGTTTTAAGGGCAATTATACCTCAGAAATGCTATTATCTTTATTTCTCAAAAGCTGTTTATTTTTGGTATCTTGTTACAGTTTCCAAAAACATACTCATTCAATGCTATATCACCCTTTTCGAGCCATTTTGGGAAAAAGTACCATGTCCATTTTGGGAAATTTAGCATTGTAAAGTTACATAATTAGGAAAAATATTTGGTACCTTCTGAAACCTTTTTCACACTCTTTTCAACTAGTATTTTGAATTGTGCAAAAATTTCAAAGCATAAAAAATACATTAAAATTTGACAGTGAAATGTGTGGAAACCATACTGGAATGAACTCCAGCAAATTAGTCAGTTTTAATATCTGGAATTATAGTTTGATTGGGAATTATTTCAGAGACTGGGAAAAGATAAGCATATTTGGTTCTGGAGCTAATTTATCAATATTTAATATTTATATTCTTTCCTCAACAAAGATGTTTTTGAAAAGTTCTTCAGTTGATTTTTTTTAATAAATTTTTTTTTATAAATATTTGAAATGTTCATGAAATTCCTTTGTCAGGTTATACATATTATATAAGACTATAGTTACAAGTATCACAAAAAATATAAGCAAGAAGAAATTACAAAAGCAAAAAAGTGACACTACCTTTTTAGCTGACCTGTCACAAAGTGACAGGGTGAGCTTTTGTGATCGCTTTTCGTCCGGCGTCCGTCCGTCCGTCCATCGTCCGTCCGTAAACTTTTATTTTAAATGACATCTCCTCATAAACCACTAAGCCAATTTCATCCAAACTTCACAGGAATGTTCCTTTGGTGGTCACCTTTAAAAATTG